ATGGGTTGCGGCAGTTCCGCGCATGATGACCGTTCTCCAAGCAACGAGAGCATCACAAGGGATCTCTGCAAACCGCAGCACGGTGGCCAGGGATGAGGCATCTGCAGCAGCGACCGTGAAGCCAGGCGGGGATAGGCCAGGGAGCGAGAGCCAAGGCCAGTGACGCCCCCCCCCCTCACCTTGACCATCCCACCTCCGAAGATACCTCAGGAGCAGTAGCGACAACAACAGCAGCAGCCGGATCGCTTACCCCGCCGGAGCATCTGGCAGCCAAAGGCGTCAGCGGGGCGAGCTCCTCGTCGTCATCAATGCTGCAGACTTCGTCAGCGAGGGAAGCCCACGACACGGCCATCGGCGGCTGCGAGGCCCACATAACGGCGTCGGGAGCGAGCACCTCCTTGGAGCTCTGAAAGCCCGGCCGCGCCGGAGCAAGCGCTGAAGGCAGAGAAGACTCCTGCCCAACAGCAATGGCCGTGACGACTGAGCAGGGGCTCGCCACAGGCAGCAGCGCCCCTTCGAGCAGGAGCTCCGGATGGGCCACAAAGACCTTGAAGGCGTGGGGTGGAGGAGGCCACTGCATATCAAGATCCAGAACGGAGGGCGCTGCCAGGAGCAGAGGAGGTGGTGGTGGTGCCGGCTTCAGCTCAGAGAAGACGAGCGGCGGTGCAGGGAGGGGCGTCCGGAGCTCGCAGGTGGCCGAGGATGTGGCGAGCGGCGGGGCAGGCGCCGAACGCGGCTGGGATCTCATGTCCACGTCATGCACACCCTGGACGCAGGAGAGCAGGGAAGAGCTGGAGGAGGCCGGATCCAGGAGCTGCGGCCTCGGAGGAGGCCGGCTCCGGGCGCGGCGGTCGCGCAGGTGGACGGAGCGGCCGATCCAGGCGGCGGCAGCCGCGTGCTCACGCGGCGTCGGGCGCGGTCGCTAGGTCCGGTTTGGGATGCTTTGAACTATTTTAGCGTCAGCATCCGGCTAGAGAGAATTCGCCAGCCGGTAGCTAGAGAGGTTGTTGAAAGTGACTGGTTCAACAAGAAGTACGCACGCATTCCGGGTGAAAAACCATCATCTCGTCTTGACGCGTGCGCTTGGTGTCCTGGTTAAAGTGTTGGCTCGAAGCTCGGTTTCCAAATCCGGTGTTCGACAATTCCATCTTGAAGGCTTTGTCTAGGAGTGAGTAACTATTTTTCGTTGTTGGCTCACATGTCAAGGGGTTCCTAGTAGGATTGACACGAAACAGTAAACATTAACATCTCTGAACGCTAAGTAAGTTGGCCCAAACAGTGTTATTAAAGTGTTGATTGACAGGCCGCACAGTCTATGTATCAACCGACTGACTGCACTGCAACATGGCCGTGACGAGTGGTTGTTCATTTTCATTTCGAAAAGATGGGTTTGCCATGTGAACTTGGTTGCACCTACATTTTATACTAGGAGTAGTGAATAATAACCTGCTGTGGAAAAGAAACGAGTCAGCGAAGCATATGTTTTGTACCATCATCATCGATGCTTAACAACACATCCGGTCTTCTTACCCTCTCCTAACTTGATGGAGATCCTCTGACTTGAGTACTGTACGTACTACTCAAGCAAATGAGCGTGGAGTACTAAGGGCATCTTTAAAAGGGTTTCCCCCCGTTTTGTATTACAAAGCAACCAACATCGATACGGCCAATGATAGGTGCCGGGACGGAAGCAGCTCAGTCACGTCCAAAAAAATTGAAAGAGAAAACAAAAAAAGAAACAAATGCGAACAGCGATGGATCAACGAAAACGATGAGGACCCACAACCGCTATGTCCACCGGAGAATTCCACCACACTCCAAGCACTCCGGACCGCCGCATACCAAGCAACACCTTTAAGAAGGATCGCGACGCCGACGACGCTGCTGCCCGGACAAATCCTAGGGCTTCCCCCGGTACGTAGAGAAGTGTGGAGGAAGGGGCAAATCCCACGCCATTCAGGAAGGCATGGTGGCGCCCACAGGCGTCACCGCGTCGGTGCCGGACAAGCCGATAATGATTTCTCCTGACCACCAACCACCCACGACTCCAGACGATCCATCGTGCGCCACCAAACACGCTGCCCACCAACATGCGCCACCACGGCCGTGCAATCGCCATCGCTGTCTCACCGTGGCCAATGAAGCGGGACCGGCGGGAATAGAGAAGGCAACCAAGAACAAGGGGCGGCAGCAACAGCAGCCACGCGGGAGGGGACAACCTCCACCGTCCGTGGCAGGAACCGGCCGGACGTAGCAACAGGGGCAAACCAGGCAACCGCGACCAAATCGACCGGGGGGAAGGGGAGCCGGAGAAGTGGCCCATGGCCACGACCGGCGCTGCACCGGCTCCAGCTCCCCCCTAGAAACCGGCCCCGCGCCGAAGGCCCAGATAGGCCCGGCCGAGCCCGAGACGGGCTCGTGAAGCCCCCGTCGCCGCGCTGCATTACACGACCCGCCATCGCCGCCATCCCCCGCACGAGTCGCCCCGCCGTCCGCCGGAGACGCAGCAAAGGAGCTCCGGCCAGGTCCGCCCATACCCAGATGGGGCCCAACAGGGCCCAGATCTAGGCCGGGAGGTCACCGCCACCAGCCACCGCGACACCCCACCGCCAAACAGCCACGCCGCCGCCACCTCGCCTGTCAGCGTTAGCACCCTGTGCCTGAACTTGCCATGGCATCCCGTGTGTGTGGTTGGGTCATCATAAGAACCTGCGAAAAATGACATCGTAGGACATAAGTAGAATGCCATCTTCCTCGTCACAAATATGGCAACTGTCCCTTTTTTGATCATGCATCGTACCGATGCTCGCGTACTGCTCTAGTAATGGCAGCAACGGTCCTGCGGAAATGAGTTGATTGTACTCTGCTGCATCCCAAGGGAGCGTTTCCGGTCTTTGAGAAAACCAAGGATCAGTGTCGTCTTCATGATTTATTTTTCCGCTTTTTCTCCCACTGTGTTTTCAGTCACTGCATGAACAAGAACTCATCAATATCCGCAAAATGCATTCTTTCTGTTTGCACATACAAGAAAACACGACAATCTTATCACATTTCTTGCATAGGCAACCAACACATCATGGCAAGTAGGACATGCACATTCATTCTCTTCTCTAAAATATGGATGCCAACTATCATTTTGAACCGATGGCAACAACGAACATAATATTATGGCAAGTAACAACACAATATTGTGGCAGCTGACGCCAAAGATAGGTGGCAACTAACATCAGAAACAGGTGGCAATTATTTTCCTCCCTCCCTATGAACCACCCAAATTATTCCTTTCTTCCCCTAGTTTTAGTGATTCCTGCGCATTCTTATGCAGCAACTACTCGCACCAACCCAACCAAGAAGCTTAGCTCAACTCTAGGATAGAATATGGCAGATCTGGCGTACGTTGGTGGGCAAATATGAATACACACAAATCCGTGGTGTATTTTTCATGACAGCGTGGATCTAATCGACATGTTCGTGGGCAATCTGCAATTTCAATTTTCTGGACAGAAGAAGGACGAGAAACAAAAGGAGATCGGAGATCGACCTGTGAGCTCGTCCTTGCGGGCGGGGTTGGGGGGTGGGTAGCGGTGGGGGTGGGGGATGGGGAGGCGCTAGGGATCTGGTCTGGTTGTCATGGCAACCAGAGAAGGAAGACGATGAAGGTAGGGGATCTAGAGGTAGGAGACGACAGCGGCAGGTCGGACTAGGGTTGAAAGGCAGGCCGGGATGAGGGGGCGCGTTAGGTCGTGCGGGCAGTGCGGTCAATCGCCCGGACATGTGGGCGATTGTGCCACGCACCGGACGTGCGGGCTGTGGCTGCCTGCGCCCAACGCCTCGTGCGGGCAGGGTCGTCTCCGTGCCACACAGGGCGTGCGGCACAACCCCACTAGATGCCACACGTGTGACAGTTATCGGCGTCTTTATTATTAGGGAAAGATTAATTATTATATTATAGGAAAAGATATATATAGGTAAAGATGTATAATTGTAATACAAAGTTAGCGTAAAATTGAGACATTTATTTTAAGACCGAAGGAGTATTATACTAGTTGGTACAATCTCGTCCAGCCTACGCCGGTGCTACGTGCTGGACTGTACCCCACATGGAACAGGGCTAGTGGCACAGGGATCCATATGCTCACGTTCAAGGTTACCACCGCATACTATGCTGTCGAGGGAGCGAGTCCAAATAATGTCGTTGCAGGTCCAGGTTTCCGCTCACAGTTAGTTGTGTCTTGAATAACAACCTACTACCTTCGTTCGGAATTACTCGTTTAAAAATGAATGTATCTAGATATATTTTAATTGTAGATACATCCATTTTTTATCTATTTTTGTGACAAATAATTCTGAAGGAAGGAAGTAGATTGTGAATCATGGAAATTAATATTTATCTAGACTGGACATACGATGATAATTAGCTGCATGCGCTGCATCTTCGTCTGAAGTGGCTAATTAAGTGAAACCAAGTGGTATTCTTTGTTCTAAGCGGAGATGTTGTTTGGTGCCAGACAAACCCACTTGCAGGTCTAGGTCCTCGCTCACAGCTAGTTGTGTCTTGAATAACAATTTGATGGCGACTCATGGAACTTGATATTTATCTAGACTCGCCATACGATGATTAATTAGCTGCATACACTGCATCTTCGTATGAGGTGGCTAATTAGGTGAAACCAAGTGGTATTCTTTCTTCTAAGCGGAGATGTTGTTTGGTGCCAGACAAACCCACTTGCAAGTCCAGGTCCTCGCTCACAGCTAGTTGTGTCTTGAATAACAATTTGATGGCGACTCATGAAAATTGATATTTATCTAGACTCGCCATACGATGATTAATTAGCTGCATACACTGCATCTTCGTATGAGGTGGCTAATTAGGTGAAACCAAGTGGTATTCTTTCTTCTAAGCGGAGATGTTGTTTGGTGCCAGACAAACCCACTCGTGGAATATGGAGAGGAAAGCGCAGTTTAGTTAAGAGAGAAAGGAGAATAACAAAGATCCATCCATGGCGGAGACAGCGATCGCCGCGGTGCTCTCCAAGTTCGGTGAGCTCGCCGCGAATGAGGCCAAGGTGCTGATTCAGGTGGGCGATGACATGATGCTGCTGCGAGACCGGCTGGAGTGGCTGCAGGCCTTCGTCCGGGACGCCGACCGCAAGCGCCGGGCCGGCACCGACGGGCTAACCTGCGTGTGGGTGCGCCAGACACGCGACGTGGCTTTCGAAGCGGAGGACGCGCTCGACCAATTCTTCTACGAGGTGCTCTTGTCCTGCTTTTTTCTTTTACACTAGCTGCTCTTGCGCTGGTTAATTACTTGATCTCTCTCTCTCTCTCTCTCTCTCTCTCTCTCTCTCTCTCTCTCTTTCTCTCTCTCTACACCAGCATATCAGTCAGGGTCAGGAGAAACACAAAAAAAGTTACGTTAGATTTGCTTTTCAGAATTATTATTAGCTAAGGCCAACTCTTACTAATCCCCTAAAAGTTTGTATATCAGTCAGGGGAAACATAAAAAGAATTACGTTAGATTTGCTTTTCAGAATTATTATTAGCTAAGGCCAACTCTAATAGACCCCCTAAAAGTTTGTAGAGTATCCGGCCGAGTAAAGTTAGTGGAGTAAATTATATCTTGTCTATAGGTGGCTGCACGTAGATGATCCTCTAAAATTTAGTGGAGTAAAAATATTTGTAAAGTATTTTTTTGGTTCTAGCCACACTAACTTCAAACACTTTGCGGTATATATCATAAAATTATTAAAATTCAAACATGCATAATATAACCGTCATAACATATAATTTCATCATCACGATTGTCAAATAAAAACATGCATAATTCAACCAAAAGGCATCACTTCAAACACAATGTTTGATCCAAAATCACCACAAACATAAACATGTATATGTTGTGAATCGAGCCAACCAATGGCATGCACGAACCTAAATGAGGTGGTCGCTGAAAAAAAAATCACCGTCGGTGCCACCACCACCACCACTATCCTCTTGGCCGGTACCATCACTATCGGTTACCAACAATCACCATCGGTCGAATGTTGAAGATGTTTTTATTTATCTTCTCCGCATTTCATCGAGCACTTGGCGGCCGCGACCTTTCTTGCCGGCTCCCGTCGCCGGACGCGCAAGAGCAGTTTCGGTAGGTGTTACTGGAGACGCTGCACGTGCCATCGGCCATGGACAGAGCGTCGTCGTCAACTTCTTCTTCTTCTTCTTCTTCTTCTTCTTCTTCTTCTTCTTCTTCTTCTTTTCTTCACGGCGTCCTCGGCTAGGGCCGCCGCCGCCGCCGTCGGCTTTCAAGCTCTTTTGGCAATGCCGGGAGCAGCGGGAGGGCGGCGGGTTGTCGCCTGAGAGGCGCTCGCTACCCCGTCCGCCTTTGCCGCATTTGGAGCCGGAGCTTGAACCCGGTGAACTTTTTGTTTATCCCCAAACTTTTTTTCGGCGCGGGCGGCGACACGGGGGTGGTTCTCGGCGGTGGCCGACGAGGTGGCGGGATGGTCCGGGCTCTCCATTCCGGTGGGAGGGCCGGTCATCGGTGGCGGTGGCGGGGCGTGGTGGCGGCTGCGGCGGGAAAAAGGAGGCGTCGGTTTTCCTCAACCGAGCACGTTGTGAGTATATTTAGGAAGATTGGAGGGGGTGTGGGGGGTTTCCGCGGGGGAGGATAATTTATCCTACCTTATTATGTTTAGGGAATCGGCTGGATGCGGTGTAGGTTATCCTCCCTTAGAGCCGGATAGGGGATTTGTTAGAGTTGCTCTAAAGAGTAACTAGCTCTAAGGGAGTAGTCCACTTCTCTTTGACATTTCAATTTTCTTTTCACGGTTGACTATTATTCTAGACCCTGCCCAGCCTTCGAAGGCAAGCCACATGTAATTCTAGAGATCTAGAGTTCATCTTGTGACAAAAACAAATTGCATACCAAGTATTGTTCTACCCCACTATGTACGGCAAAAAAATCTAGTAGTGGAACGTCTGGCTTGTTATATACTGTAGATTACTATTCTTGATCATTTATCTGTTCATTAAATATTTACTGCTATTTTTATTGGTTAATACAATAGAACTTTACTTGCATGCAACATTAATTTAGCTCTAAAAACTTGTTCCAGTGGTTTTGAAAAACTATCTTTTCATGCATGAATTTTCTGGTGACACCAGGTTGACCTAAGAAGTCACGGTTACCCACGTTGGAAAATTTGGCGTGCACATTTGATGGGCTTCGGTAACCAAATTCTTGTTCGCCATAGGTTATCTAATCAAATCAAAAGAATCAAGAGCAGACTCAACCAAATCTCAGAAAATCAAAGGGAATATATGATTGCGCATACACCGTTAGCGGCATTGACATCTTCCACTATAGCCATTGCGGCCTGGTAAGCCACTCTGTCTCGAACCTTGCAATTTTCCATTACTTACTTGGTTGCAGAAAAATAAAAATAAAACTAACTTGTTAGGTATTAGCGTCATTTCCAAAATGTAACTTTTACCTTCATTGGTATTTGACATAATTATAATTTAAAAACATAATAAATTACATGGCCGTGCATTGCCCTTGCTACGTACATGTAAAATAGACACTAATTTATTATTTTAATGGCTCAGTTGAGTTGCGATGTTTTTAAAGATGAGTCCACTTTACCCGCCTAAACTCTTTCCTTGGTTTTATTACAACTTGAACCTCAAAATTTTCTAAAAGCCAACCCATTGAATGCGGAAAGCAATTTAAATGACCTCTCTCCTGATTTGTAAGTGGTTTTGTCACAACAACAGCTACATCACTATAGGGATCACCCGTAAGTGTGACATTCATCGAACCGACTCCTTCCCGGGTAACTGTTCTCCGTGTTATCCTGCACCCATCCAATTAACCCTGGGATGGCTGCCGGAGGTGGGGCGTCAAGCGGTCACCCGTCTTCTAGCTAGAGTTTTGATTTTTGGTTTGTGATTTTCTTTTTGCCCCAGACCGAGATGGCCGAATTTTGGCCATTTTAAAAAATTTAACCAAAATTTGGAAGATATTTGATTGCAATTTGACCAAAAATTGCTAAATTTAACCAAAATCTATTGTTTTCGGTCGAAAGGTACTTCCCCCCAGCCGAGATGGCCGAAATCCATTTCTTTTGCCTGAAAGTCAAAACACAGCTTCTAGCCTCCCCTGACATTCGTATATGTTAAGCCACATCATTTACCTCCTTACGTGCCAAAAGAAGAGCACTGTCCCGACCCTGCAGGTGCCGTGGAATCCGCCATCGAGTTCTAATGCGTGGGCACAGGTCCGGGCAGCTGTGAGGAGATGTCCCGCAGTGGCGTGCACCACCGTTGTTGACCCTCCTCTCCAACCCTCCACCGCCATGTGCCCCAAAGCCAGCCTGACCGCCGCCCACTTCAAACTGCCGCCCATGCCCCGCTGGAGGTGCACAACCCTGCTTCCCTCTGTCCTGCCGCCGCATGTGTCCTGCTGTCTACTGAGGCGAACTCCAGCACACGACCCTAAACGGACGTCCGTTTCGTCACGATTATGTCTGTTTGGGGTGGGCAATAGGGTCGTGTCCGGGCCTTTAGTGGGAGTTCATGCCAGCGGCCCTAGTTCACGCTGGCAACACAGCCCGCCTACACGACCTCGTCGGCAACACAACCCGCCTCCAAAATGAATAGTTTTGTCGCCCGCAACACAACCAGCCTCCAAAACGAATAGGTTTCTTGCCGGCACACAGCCAGCGGCCGGCACCCATGCCAACCTCCAAAAAGAACGGCCACGGCCGAACAGACCACCTAGTTCAGGCCGTCGGCGTCGAATATCTCCTTCTGCCTGGCCTCGAACCAGCTCCTCGTCTTCTCGCTCATCTTGGTCAAGTCCACGCTCATGATCGCTAGGGCTACCTCCTTGCATTGGTTGCGGCATTGGTGGCCTCGACGTCGAGCTTCCTCTGCTTGGACGTGACATTGGCGGCCTCGATGTCGAGTTGCCTTTGCCGGGATGCCTCCTCCATGCCGATCTTCCTCTTCTTGGCCGCCTCCTCCATCTCAAGCTTCTTCCTTTGAAGCTCTAGGTATTGCTTCATTTGCTCGTCCTTGCTTTGCCGCTTTTTCTCGTCCCTCACATCCTATTGAGACATCATTGCCATGCAAAGTCTCATGCAAGGCCATGGATGACGCATCACGTATGTCGTCCATCTTGTAGTTGGTCTTTCCCCTCCGCCTCTTCAACGCCTCACCATCTCCACCTCCGGCCAATGCGGCCGTCTTCTTGCCTCTCTTCCTTTGAAGTTCACGGTATTGATCTTTGAACTTAGGGCAATTGTTGATAAGGGTCCAACAATACGTAAGAGTGAATGGCTTGTCATTGTATCGGGCCTTGAATGCTTCCAAAGATTGAAATGCCTACACGATCAACAAAAAATTGAACATGCAAAACATATAGAAGGCCGAGGTCTCATGGCCGTAGCAACGAAAGATAAGAGAGCATATCATGTCTCCAATGCCAAGACCACTCATGGGACGTGCTTCAACGCTCTCAAGTGCAACACAATACCTGTTGCATTCTTATTGGATGAACAACCACCTCTTTTGAATCGAGATGACGCCACGGTCGCTCATAAATTGGTAGGGCGCAAACAACTTTCTTTCATGGAATGTTTTGTGAACTCTTGTCCAAAAACCAAGTCCCTTTTGTTGTGCACCGGTCCTCGGATCTTGTCCAACCTCCATCCAACTTTGGCAAATCAACTTGTCCTCCTCTTGTGAGTATGATCCCGTACGAATGCTCTTCTTCCTCTTTTGTGCTTTCGCTCTTCGGGTGAGCTCGTCGATGAACAATGACTCGCCCCCAATATCAATGCATTCATCTTCTTCATCACCATCACCTTCGCAAATAGATGTCATCATCTTCACGCCACGAGTCATCATGGTCGTAGTCAACATGGTCCTAGGCCTCAATGTCTTCATCAGCCATGTACTGGGCGCGGCCATCCTGACTTTGGGTCACGTCGGGACCGTAGGTGTTGGGGAACGTTGCAGAAAATAAAAAAATTTCTACGCTTCACCAAGATCAATCTATGGAGTCATCTAGCAACGAGAGAGAGGAGTGCATCTACATACCCTTGTAGATCGGGAGAAGAAGCGTTCAAGTGAACGGGGTTGATGGAGTCGTACTCGTCGTGATCCAAATCACCGATGATCCTAGTGCCGAACGGACAGCACCTCCGCGTTCAACACACGTACGGTTGGGGAAGACATCTCCTCCTTCTTGATCCAGCAAGAGGGAGGGAGAGGTTGATGGACATCCAGCAGCACGACGGCGTGGTGGTGGATGCAGCGGGGATCTCGGCAGGGCTTCGCCAAGCTCAACAGAGGAGGAGGGAGTGTTGGAGAGGGAGAGGGAGGCACCAGGGGCTAGGGTGCGGCTGCCCTCCCTCCCCCCTCTATATATAGGATCCCTAGGGGGGGCGCCGGCCCTAGGAGATCCAATCTGCAAGGGGGGCGGCGGCCAAGGGGGGTGGCTTGCCCCCCAAGCCAAGTAGGGCGCCCCCACCCCTAGGGTTTCCAACCCTAGGCGCAGGTCGGGGGCCCAAGGGGGGCGCACCAGCCCACCAGGGGCTGGTTCCCCTCCCACTTCCGCCCATGGGGCCCTCCGGGATAGGTGGCCCCATCCGGTGGACCCCCGGGACCCTTCCGGTGGTCCCGGTACAATACCGGTGACCCCCGAAACATTCCCGATGGCCGAAACTGGACTTCCTATATATGATTCTTCACCTCCGGACCATTCCGGAACTCCTCGTGACATCCGGGATCTCATCTGAGACTTCGAACAACTTTCGGGTTATTGCATATTAATATCTCAACAACCCTAGCGTCACTGAACCTTAAGTGTGTAGACCCTACGGGTTCGGGAGACATGCAGACATGACCGAGACACCTCTCCGGTCAATAACCAACAGCGGGATCTGGATACCCATGTTGGCTCCCACATGCTCCTCGATGATCTCATCGGATGAACCACGATGTCGAGGATTCAATCAATCACGTATTCAATTCCCTTTGTCAATCGGTACGTTACTTGCCCGAGACTCGATCGTCGGTATCCCAATACCTCGTTTAATCTCGTTACCGGCAAGTCACTTTACTCGTACCGTAATGCATAATCCCGTGACAAGACACTTGATCACATTGAGCTTATTATGATGATGCATTACCGAGTGGGCCCAGAGATACCTCTCCGTCATACGGAGTGACAAATCCCAGTCTCGATTCGTGCCAACCCAACAGATACTTTCGGAGATACCCGTAGTGCACCTTTATAGTCACCCAGTTACGTTGCCACATTTGGCACACCCAAAGCACTCCAACGGTATCCGAGAGTTGCACAATCTCATGGTCTAAGGAAATGATACTTGACATTTGGAAAAGCTCTAGCAAAACGAACTACACGATCTTTGCGCTATGCTTAGGATTGGGTCTTGTCCATCACATCATTCTCCTAATGATGTGATCCCGTTATCAATGACATCCAATGTCCATACTCAGGAAACCATGACTATATGTTGATCAACGAGCTAGTCAACTAGAGGCTTGTTGGGGAACGTTGCAGAAAATTAATTTTTTTTCTACGGTTTCGCCAAGATCCATCTATGAGTTCATCTAAGCAACGAGTCATGGGAGAGAGATTTCATCTACATACCACTTTGTAGATCGCGAGCGGAAGCGTTCAAAAGAAGAGGGTTGAAGTAGTCGTTCTCGCCGTGATCCTATCACCGGAGATCCTAGCGCCGAACGGACGGCACCTCCGCGTTCAACACACGTACAGAGCGGATGACGTCTCCTCCTTCTTGATCCAGCAAGGGGGAAGGAGAGGTTGAGGAAGATGGCTCCAGTAGCAGCACGACGGCGTGGTGGTGATGGAGTGACAGTTCTCCGGCAGGGCTTCGCCAAGCACACACGGAGGAGGAGAGGTGTTGGGGAGGGGAGGGGCTGCGCCTTCAAGTGTGTTGCAGCCCTCCCCTCGCCCCTCTATTTATAGGGGAAGGGACAAGGGGGGGTGGCCCCTCTAGATGGGATCTAGAGGGGGGGCGGCGGCCAAGGGGAGGGGGCTTGCCCCCCAAGCAAGGGGGGCGCCCCCCTCAGGGTTTCCCCCAACCCTAGGCGCATGGGCCCTAGGGGGGAGTGGCGCCCCAGCCCACTTTGGGCTGGATCCCTTCCTCATACAGCCCATAAGGCCATCCGGGAGAGGTGGCCCCTCCCGGTGGACCCCCGGAACCCCTCCGATGGCCCCGGTACAATACCGATATGCCCCCGAACCTTTCCGGTGACCGTATGATGACTTCCCATATATAAATATTTACCTCCGGACTATTCCGGAACTCCTCGTGACGTCCAG